TTCGCGAGTCACATAAAACTTTTTTTCGCCTCATTTTTCATAAAGTAGCTACCACGCGGTCATCAAAATGCCTTTTATTTACAAGTAATGCGAAAATTTTATTAAAAATATTTATGAGATTTGCAAATTTTGTTTTTTTTTCTAGTCGACCCCTCAAGCTTTATCTTCATGCCAACCGACTTTGACAACAGTGATAGCGAACGTAAGTTCACTTTACTTAAAATGGGCTAACATCAAGAGGTTAGTGATGCCTGGAACTCACCTGACATGCGCTTGATGAACACTGTGGAACAGGTCATGACAACTTATTTATTTATTTATTTCAATTGGCAGGCGTTTTGATAACATTAGCCATTTAGCTAACTTCGGGCTTCACAGAGGGAAGGCTCATCAAAGTACCAGAAAGTCGAGGTGTGGGGAACAGAAGAGCGATTCACAAATACAAAAGAGATAGCAGACACAAAGGTAGAGAAAAAGTAAAGGTTAGTACTGTGAAAGTGTTGAAATATGGCATACAGTGGGGTGATGGTAGTTTGAAGTCAGATGTCAACTGCCTTTTTAGGTGATGGTAGTTTGAAGTCAGAAGTCAACTGCCGGTTTACGGACTTTTTTGCCGTATGAGTATACGTTGCCCAGGGTGCACGTTGAAAGTTACTTTAAAAATGGGTTTTAATCAATACCCTAATGTCAGAGCTGCTATCATGCAAAAAGAGGACTAAATAGATCAAAAACTGTTATTTGGAAGTTAGGAACAACGAAATTAAGTGAACAAAGGTTGCTCTCAGGCTTTAATTACGATTATGAGATTCTAGATTCGATCAATTTTCAATCGATTTCTTTTTATTTTTTAACTTACAAATGTTCTCTTTCCTATTGCTGCTAATTATAAAGAAGAAGAATGTTTTTTTAAATATTTTTAGCCATTATAACACGAGAGAAGGGTGAAAATAATTGAGTTGAAATAGGTGATGTAATCTAAAAAAACATACTTCATTTGAGTTCCGGATTCGTTAAGTGGCAAAGTTATCAGATTATCATATTCTAATGTTCTACAGTTTCTGTGCCAGAATTAGACCCCTACAATTCGTGTTCAGTGCCAACCAACTCGATTCTTAAATTAAGTATTTTGTCATGTCATCTAGAAGACTAACCAAACGAACGCCCGGGTGTTTCTGGTTAAGATACTCATAGAAGCGAGGTTCACCTTTGATGTCCATTAATAAGGACAATTATTTCATGACATCATGTGCATTACCGCCCTTTCTCATTATTGAATTGAACATATCATTATACTTTTGACCTAACAGCGTCTTTCAACTAAATTAGTAACGCATACCGATCTCATGAGTGTTATTCAAAGTATATTAGAATTGGGAATGGCTTCCTTTTATGAGTGCAATATAAGGCAGCACGTGCGTGAATACAAATCTGCGTTTCATGCGTATTAAATGGCTGTTGTGTTACTAAAGCGACGCCTTTGTTTTTGTAGCATTGAACAAAGCGGGGTAAATGCGTTGTGTGCGTGTGTGTGTGTGTGTGTGAGCAGTAATTTCGGGTTTTATTGTTCTAATGTGTCCTTGCTTTTGTGTGTCATTAAACGCGACTTTGCTGGTGTATTTTGGAGCATTGACGTTGGATAGACATAAAAGAAAAGCACTTAACCACTGATTTCATTTGCGTTTAGTGGGTCTTCCCTTTGTGTTTACTTGAGAATTCAGGCTCTGCCGACGAGGGTTCGTTGAGAGCAATTGGTGCTAGAAGCGTCTACGTGGCTAGTGTTGACTTTGCATGATTGATCTTGTTCCTTCGTGTAGGTTTTCTCGAGTGCTTATCATTTTTTAATTAAATTATTCTGCACTATTAATCAGTCAGAGAAAGCCATGATCATAGCGTCGTGTTTCCACTGTGGGTGTCTCATCAATAAGACAATCAACTTGCGCGCGTTTATTGAACGCTTGCTATCTTGGCAACTCAGGTTAATAGGTTCGGGGACTTAAGCTACACGTTAATTGTTTAAATCGTGTGATGAAGGTAACATTTTACAAGGAGATATACGACTTTAACTACAATGTGTAATGGATGGAAATGTCTTTTAAGTTCAAAGTTCTCATGGTCTGGAATGACAGTCGATACCTATTTGTTTTGCGGGGTTGCCTTGGCTAAAATAGTTAAGAACTTTTGGCACTGGTTAGGTGGAAACGACTCAGCGTATTGGTATCAATGATGTGCTGAAATTCGTTTTAAGATAAAGTTATGCGTATGCCAGAAATTGATAAAGTTTAAACGATTTATGACCTTTGCCTACGCCATTTCTTCATAGCAAGCGAATGGGTTAGGCGTTGAAGCCTACAACTACAAGTAATTTATTACTATGCGATTGAAAGTGTCATTATCGTTATTACTCCACTTATTACGCCCCCTCTGACAGGTAATTCGTCTTGTTTACGAAAGTTCCCAAATTAAATTTGTGCTAAAAAAAAAGATGTCAGCCCCTAAACCACTGAACAGCCTCATTCTCCCCTCCCCTCCACCCCCTCCCCTACCCTCCTTGTATTTTTTTATTTCGGTTTGTTTGTTTGCTCACAGAATTTTTAAGTCTTTCTTTTTAAAAAATTGTCTGATTAGAGATCTGCGCAAAAGGCCTTTTTTTACTTTTTAGTCTCTATCTAATAGTGTCAGTTAATGCAAGCAAAAACGATATTTATGCAGATAATTGATGGTAAATAATTATAATTTAAGCTACCAATTATGCTAGTAATGTTACGATTTTTAATTATCGACTATTTTTGGCCTTTTTAAGTTCGATATATTAGAATGGCAAAGGACTTCAATTGAATCTGTTTACTTAACTAAAAGTTCTCTCTCTGGGTTAACCTTCAATTCCAATGTTTATATCAAATGACAGGCGTTTTGATGGTTTTCATTAGCCCTTTAGTTGACTTCAGGCTTCACAGAGGGGAAGGAACATCAAAGTGAAACAAGTCGAGAAGTGGGGGTGGGAACAGAAGAGTGTTTCAAAGATGTAAAAGAGACAGACAGAAAAGGGTAAGATGAGTACTGTGGAAGGCGTCGAATATGACATACAGTGGGTCATGGTAGTTTGAAATCAGAAGTCAACTGGCGGTTAATGGGCTATTTTTGCCGTATGAGCATACGTTGCCCAGGGTGCACCACGTGGAGGTAAGTCTATCGCACACCCCTCAATTCCAATGTAAAATATACCCCTAAATTCAATTGTTTCCAATGTCCTCTTAGTAGCATTTAGTGATCTTTCTGCGTTCACTGATATAGGGACCAATGACAAGGTTTGATGATTGATGTTAAAAGTGCCGGCTATCAACTAGCCTGCCAACTATTTACAAGGACACGTATTGCAGATTGGTATGAAAGGTTGTGAGCAAACGGACAAATTTGTGGTAATATAGGCCATCTCGCCTTGAGTTACTCAAAGCGGTGTTGATAAATCATCTGAAGGGAAAGGAGAAGTGCTCACCCATGAGTTAACTGGGCAATGCACTAATTGTTGCTCTTTAGAGAGGTCTTTTGGTCATCGCGAGCTAGTTTAATCGAAATTTTTCTACCGTAACTTCGCTAATTGTTTTAAATTCCACGTACCAGCCTAGTGGTTGTAAATCACATGCGCAGAAAAATTGACCTTGGATCCTTTTTTTGATGCAAATGAACGATTTTTCCAAGAGTCTTGTCATATTTTCTAAAACCTGTGGTCAAATCGAGATTTTTATTATTAAGTTTATATATATCTTTTCGCGCAAGGTATCTTCACTAAGTCGTTCTGATTATATTTTATCAATTATCTTGTAGTCAAGTTGACTGTCATTACTTCAAGACATTGGCTATTTTCTAGCTTTCATTGTCATTAACTCCTTCTTGAATCCCTTGCAGCTAACATTTCACTACATTTTGTTTCTAGTTGAGCTTTTTAACCAGGTATTGTTATTTGATACCATCGTGAACGCTTCTTTGCAACTTATACTCAAATAGGTGTGTTTAAGAGGAGAGTCGTTGGTTAATCTTCCAATTCAGCTAATTTATGCATATTAACTTGGTCGTATGAGCAGAGGACCAAGTAAAAAATTATTTATTTGTTTGTTTATTTCCAATGGGAGGGGTTTTGATAGTTATCATTAGCCATTAAGCTGACTTAGGGCTTCACAGAGGGGAGGAACATCAAAGTGAGAAAATTCAAGAGGAGGAAAGAAGAGTGCTTAACAGATGCAAAAGAGACAGACAGGCACAAAGGCAGAGAAAAGGTAAGATGAGTACTGTGGAAGGCGTCGAATATGACATACAGTGGGTCATGGTAGTTTGAAATCAGAAGTCAACTGGCGGTTAATGGGCTATTTTTGCCGTATGAGCATACGTTGCCCAGGGTGCACCACGTGGAGGTAAGTCTATCGCACACCCCAGTACAAAATTATAAAGTCAATGAATTAGGTATGCATATTATTTGGAATGACATCGAGCTATATTACCTACATATGCATTCAAGTGGGTTAGTATCATTTGGCATATTTAGACAACTGGCGAATCCCAATTTTATGTTTTATTGCTCAGCAGCGGTTGAAATTTCAATATGAACTTTGGACCTGATCTAACCTTGTCTTAAATTTTTTTAATTTATATTTTATGCATGGGGCATTATTGATGCTGTAATGCACGCATATCATTGTAGGAATCCTGCCAAGAATGCGCGATTGATTGCAGCCCGCTTTTTGAGAGTTTTTCTCAGGATTGTTTTTTGTGTATTGTTTCCTAATCAACGAGTTTTTTTCTCAGAAGCGTCGATGGTTTTTTCATTGTTGAGGGGGAACTGTGAGATGCTACATTACTATTCAAATGCGAAGCGTATTCATAGGATTTTTTACAGTGGGCTAGTCCTTTTGTAGTGTCAAGTACATAATTTTGCCTGTTAACGTTTTGGATTAGTCAATAACCAGTACTCGAATCTGTGAAATATGTTTAATTTTCCCAGCATATTGATGCATACTCTGATCACCTGTTTTTCACTCTTCCCGAACCTACAGAATCCGCCAGCAATCTTAGAACATCTCACTCGAGCATCATCCCTTCGTTGCGGTTCCTCCAACACCAACATAGCCGCCATCAGTGGAAGTGTTAGTCAAGTCAATATCGTGTCGGTCAATCACCAGGATCCCTTGTCCCCATCCTCTCCCTCTGATGAGGCAGCTAAAATGATTAATGCTTCCTCGGTGACCTCAGCCGATGGTTTGGGCCCGCTGAAACCAGCAAGTCCTATTGCAGCCACTGTCGCGCCGAGCAAAAGACTTGGTGTTTCAGCTGAACCTACCCTGGCAATGCAGGAGTCCGCTCCTGTAGAAATTAAGTATTATGACAAGGATGCAAAGTAGGTCTGCAATTATTATCGTTGTTGTTATGTCCTGATTGGATCTTAGTGTGCTAGCAACTCACAGACCTAATAGGTATGGGGAACATATCTGACTTGGATGTGGTCATATTTGTACATTCTGACTCAGACCTACAAGAGGAAAGGAAGAGATGAGTGTGGTGTATGATGTGGGATGGGGAGACAGAAGTGGGCGGATGTACTGAGTCGTTGTAGTTTTACAATGCGAATATATAAGTAATAACGTGCAACTTTCTCCTATTCTAAATACTCGTATACTTGATGTGAATCACATTGTATCGACGAAATCAACAGTGTGTTCTTACATTTCCGCCGCGATCATACCAAAGGTTACCTTGTTTCTCCTAATTAATTATTTTTATTTTTTTGTGTTTTGGACTATTTGATGCAGACAACAAGTTAAAGTCGATGGAATGAACCAAAACATTGTTTGTGTGTGTGTGTGTGTGTGTATTCGTATGTTTATCCGTCAACATTCACGGGACTTTTCCATGCTAATGAGTTAAACAAGTTTGAAAGATTGGCGAATGCACCAGTCCAACTTGGTCAAGTTGTGCGGTTCTTTCAGTTAACTGATCAAATATAAAAATTTTACAATTGATTTAAGCTTGCATCATTCTTAGAGGCCACCCTGACGCTGTTTAATAAGACTCCGCTTAAAAGCCCATGCCACTTTGCCCTTGTGAGAATTCACCTGAGAATAAGGAATTCTAGGTATTTTATCTCTCGGCTTATTGTCCACCCACCTTAAAAGAGGTCTTCTAATACTCCCAACCCAGTCCAATGGAATGGGCGAAAAGCACCATCTAGATTGCTTCCGGCGTTCATGCCGATTTCGACCGTCTCATTGGCTAGAGTCAGAGTTAATCGATAGATACTGCAATCCCCCCCCCCACCACCTCACCCCACCCCACCCATCCTCTTTCTCTTCACGTCCCATTATATTTTGTCGCCACTGCTTATGCGAACGGAGAGAGCTTAATAACATCGCCTGATGTGCTTTTAGCCGCTGCAACAACAATAGCCATCATCATCAGCATTATTAGTATTATTAATATCATGGGCCTATTTCTATCTGAGCCGGTCTTCTCTGTTCGAATGGAAAAATACACTTTCTTCTGCAGTCATTCCATTGAAATGAGTAAAGAAAACCGATGTGATAGGAATATTTATTCATACCAAATGGTAGGCATTTTGATAGTTATCATTAGCCCTTTATTTGGCTTCGGGCTTCACGGAGAGTAGGAGGAATATCAAAGTGACAAAAAGTCGGGAGGGAGACAGCATAATAATTCACAGGTGTAAAAGCGGCAGACAGACACAAAGCCAGAGAAAAGGTAAGATGAGTACTGTGAAAGTAGTCGAATATGACGCAGTGTCGGGTCATAGTAATTAGAAGTCAGAAGTCAACTGTTGGTTAATAGTCTTTTTCGCCGTATGAATATACGTTGCCAAGGGTGCACCACTTGGAGGTAAGTCTATCGCACACCCCGTGATAGGAATATAATAAAATTTAGCCATTGATAAATTCTCGAAGAGGAGGAAGAGGGTTGTTTGCTTACGCAGAGCGGAAGGTGGTGGGGGGTGGGAACTAGTTGACCTAGTGCCCTTTCTATTAACATGAAATCTACTATATCATCAGGGTGGAAAGAAGGAGAACAGGCGCTAACCCAAAAAGAGTGGTCTAAGTGAGAGAGAGCAAGGCTGAGGTGCTGGCGTTGCACCGTTTGGGAAACTCTATTAACCGCTAAGTGAGATAGGCAAATTGGTACGTGAGGAGTTATCAACTTAGCTGTTAGAAATTTATCACAAAAATTGAGGTCTCTAAGGTAGTTGTTAATCTCAGTTTTAATGATCCATCCAGTTCCAACATCGTGAGATGGAAGACAAGTTTGTTGACTGATGACTAGTTGAGGTCATCTGGGTTGTGGAATTCAGTTAAAAAATCAATATCTAAATTGTCGATCTGGTTTTAGTAATCTCTTTCGATTGTGAGTTTAGAAAACCAAATGCTACGGCTACACCGTCATAACAATTGCCAATTTTTGTCTTTACCTTGAGCACAATCTGTCAATAATCAAATCTTATGGGCGACCTCATATTAGGTTGACTGTTTACCCGCAAATTACACCGACTCTTCATTTCGGTCTATTGAGGGGAAACTCGCCATTTACTATGCGCGATGTTAGCTGGGACGCGTCAGTTTAAACGAATTTCGTGAATAATAATTAGCGGGGTGTTTTCCTCAAGGTCGCCGCATATTCACCCTTGTTGAGTGGGCGGAGGAGAAAAGAGTTATGTGGTTGGTTTTAGTTGGAATGTTCACAGGATTGATTGACATAACAGAGAAATGATGGGGTTAGGGTTTTTACTTTGCGTTCTGAGGGCTTGTTTATACCGCAAAAAAAAATACTCCCCAAAATTAACAACTACTCAAATTTGTTGGTGTTCTAATATTGATGTATTTGAAATAATTACATGAATACTCATTATTAAAGAAGGACTCCAGTTTTGTTAAAAATAACCCTGGGAAATTAAACCTGACCAGTCAGAGCAAGTGACTTGTAATTTGTTGAGATTTCATTTCTACGACTTGTACTATCTTAACTTGAGCAACTAGGCGGAGGAAGATCCGTCACTACAAGATGGTTCAAGAAAAAAAGGTGCTTCTTATTTCCACCAAATCCACATTTCTAGTAAATTTTTTGTTGAATGAAATTTTCATTAACAGGTGCCTTTATCACCAATTTTATGTAACAACGAAAGCTTTAGAACCGTTTTAGTTCACGTTATTAGTTCAAACTGGGTGCGTTTTCAAATGGCAGGCGTTATGATAGGTATCATGGGGTGTGCAATAGACTTACCTCCACGTGGTGCACCCTGGACAACGTATATATTCACACGTTATTACTCGGCATTTGACTTCAATTTGTTTATTAGTTCAAAGTCACATTTGTGAGTTCGATCAACGTCTCGTTAAGAGGATTGGGCCTAATTCTCTAGATTTTCAGAAAATACTCCAACTTTACTAGATGCATTTCTATCGCGCCTTTTATTTTGAGTTCCTTCAAATTAACAGTACAAGCAATCATGGTTTTCGTGTTTGATTTATGCCTCCATTTCAATATTTTATTTCACGAAATCACGACAGCGCCATAGCAACAACGTGTGGAGTGCGTCACTAAGGCTGCCTCCACCGCCTCTGCTCAAATACATGCGCATGCGCTCAGATCAATTTTCAAATATATATATATGTATATATTATTGCTATCTCTCCCTCGTCTGGGTCTTACTTTTTAGCCTCCCTCTCTCTCTCTCTCTCTCTCTCCGAATTCCAACCACTAAATCTGAAGCGAGCCCTCCTTCCACGTAACAACATATGGGATTTAATTGCATCCTCAGGTGTGGAGGTTATAAAGTTGGGCTATTACAGTATTTGTTGAACACATTTTCTTTAGTTTTAAACCCTTTTCTCTCCAAAGTTACTCTGCTCAATATAACCCCGGGATTCTGCTTTGGAAGGTTTTGGATGCTGGTATATATATATATTGAATTCAGGCTTCACAGAGGGGAGGAGGAACATCAAAGTGATAATAAGTCTAGAAGGGGTGGGGGGACAGGAGAATGCTTTAAAGATGCAAAGGAAACAGACAGACACAAAGGTAGAGAAAAATTTAAGGTGAGTATTGTTGAAGTGGTGGAATATGGCATACAGTGGGGTCGTGGTAGTTTGAAGTGAGAAGTCAACTGCCGGTTTATAGACGTAGTTTGAAGTGAGAAGTCAACTGCCGGTTTATAGACTTGTTGGCATGCCCAGGGTGCACCACTTGGAGGTAAGTCTATCGCACACAGCATGCATATATTTCCAAAATTTCTCTTCTGACATTGCAGCATTAAGGTTTAGAATAAGCATTCCAAAGCAATAACTTGAGTGATTTGTGGCATTTAAAGTTTTTTTGGGGATTGTTATATCAGTAGAGTAGGGAATATTTCTAGAAAAGGACTTCGCTTAAAATTAAATCAACCAACTTCGGAATTGGGAATCAGCTTCGCTGTGGTTTTCATGCATGTCAGGATGGAGATGCAATTAGAAATAAATGTAAAACAATGTGTTCTCTTAGACAAAGTTAAATTTGTCTTTATATTTTCCTCCCAATATTAATGACAATAAGGCTCTTATCCCTTAAATAAAACAAAGGAGTTGAACCCTACTGGCTTTGAATTATTGCAACGAGGGTTCGTGTTCTCTCGTCTCTTGGTTGGTTGGAATGATGGCCTGATGATCGTCTTGAAGTCCCATTGAAAGAGCTCCTTCCCCTTGGAACTCGCATTTGATAAATTTATGTGAACAAATAAGTAATATTTCAAGTGAAACATTATTTCACAATTTTTCGTCATTTACCTGATTTTTTTTCGTTTAATGTTTCTCGATTTTCCTATTAATTTTATTGAAAGGGAGGGGGGGGGGCCGTTATACCTTTCTTCTCCATATTGAACATGAAAGTGCAATTCTTGATTTACAACAAATTAGTGAATTAAATTAGGTTTATTTCTCCATTTTGTTATATATGTATATAACTTATACGAGCATTTCACCTACTCAATCAAACTGTCTACTCCACCACACAGTATTTCAATCAATCCACCTGATTAAATTAAACCTAACACAATTAAATCGGTGAAGTTTGAGCTTATCCTCCCTCTATTTCCCATGTGGTCGTGAAGACTGTCTACCTCCCCCCATTAGCTGTCAAAAGCCATCTACTTGTTTTCCTATTCAAGCGTCTAGCTATTAAAACGAAATTTCATTCAATTAAGATCAAGTCGTGGTAGGTTAGGCTTTAAAGTCTCAAATTAATTACGTTTATTTAATGAATACTTCCAATAGTTTTTCCCTTTATATTTTCTGAAGGTTGTGCATTTTATAAATAGAAAGGGGGTATTAGCCAACCAATCAGTATTTTAATCGATTCGTTGCGTCTCTTACGCCTGTGGTCACTTTATCTATGTGTGCGCGTGTGTGAGTTAATATGGGGGGAGGGGTGAGGTGGGGGTGGGGGTGGTGGGGGGGGGGGTGGACATAGCTAATTTGTTTATACCATCGAGTGGGAATGCAGCTAAGCTGTCACCCTTCGCACTTATCTCGATCCTCACCACACACACACACACACCCGAATGCAGAATGAAGGACAGACTTTGCAAGTCGGAAGGAGGAGAAGACTTTATCGAGAAAATCAAGATTAACTAAACAGCTTGAGAACAATCACACCGGTTTTCTAAGCAAATCCTTTAAGGGAAGGCGATTTGAGGAGATATGAACAATATGGGCTATGCGAGGTCAGTGTGAGAAGAGAAACAAAACATGTGGATTGAGGGATTTTTATTGTTTATCTGTATCTTCAGTCGCAGCAGTTTCATATGGGTAGTTCATCCATTGAATAAATTTTATTTGAGCACACAACATCAGAATAGATTATTCACTTTTAGCTAGATCGCATCAGATCCACCTCAAGCTCTGAAAGTGGTATGGACATTGGCACTTAGAATCAGCATCTCCTTGCAAGTGGCAGGCACTCAATTCTTTATTTAGGGTTCCGTATGCTGGTGAGTTATGGGGTATTTAAAGATTAAGTTTCCCCGCGAAAGTCCATGATTGGGAACGAGGAGGAGGAGAGGTGGGTGGATGGGGGGAGGGGGGGGGTTATCCAAAGCCTTTAAAAGGGATCTTTGATCTCAGAATTCATTGCAGTTTCTAATGAAATTGCATATAGTTTTCTAGCAATTGTGTATCACTGTAAAGTCAATGTACTTAGGCTTGGGAGCTCGTTTCTTCATCTAGGGTTTTAGAAGTACTATTCCTTGTAATCGTGATTTGTTTTCAACTTGTTTTTCCAGTGTCCCATTTCTATATATTTGCACCTTTGCTTATTTCTCTAGATCGCGTCAGGAGATTCGAAATGCCCTTCGCAACAACGAGTTCTTGAAAAATCTCGATGCAGTCCAATTGCAGGAGATTGTGTCCTGCATGTACGAGCATAGTATTGTTGAAGGTTGCTACATCATTCGAGAAGGCGAAGACGGTCACCACCTTTATGTAGCAGCTGGTGAGTCCATATCACTTTAACGTTGAACAGAATGCGATTAGTAACACCACGACGGGTGATGGTTAGTAGTTCTATAACAATTTTATCATTTTAACTCTAAGGCAAAGTTAATGATGTACTACTCTTCTCTAGTATACTATTTAAGTAGTGCTTAAATACTGCTATATCATTAATTCTTATTGAGATACTCATTCTCTAGTGTTGTGGGGAAAATGAGTGACTTAATCAACAAATTTGGTCTAATTTCAGAGGGTGAATATGAGGTGTGGAAGAACGGCAAATACCTCTACACAATGGGTCCTGGCCACTGCTTTGGTGAATTGGCTCTACTCTATAACTGCAAACGAACCGCTTCTATTAAAGGTAATCGCTGGGGCTTATTTTTCAATTTTTAAAGTCAAATCAATAATTTAACCGTCACCATATTGACCAATCACAATTGAGTTCATTCTTCCTACTTTACCAATTTATGGAAATGCTATGTTCCAAAATCTGAATGATGTATCAAAAACCAAAGTTTGCAGTGGAGTTGATATACCATTCAAAGATGTTTTTATTATCGAGAAAAATAGGCTTCATATTTTATCTTATTTAGAATGTTTTTAAGCTCGTTATATTTAAGTATTCAATTTGTGTTTTCGCTTATTCCCACAATTTAAAACCACACACAGTAACCAATAAGGCCTTGATGATTCAGACAAAAATTGTTTTATTACCATTCTATTGTTGCCTTTCCTAAATTAATTGAATTGATTAATAGTTGAATAAATTTAGTCAAAATCTTCTTCCATTAACCATTTCATGAAGTTGTTGTTTCATCTAATCTTCTATAAATCTACCATTCTGTAATAGGCTGGCTTATTTCAAAGTCCTACCCCACCCCTGACTATTCTTTTCATTTTACCTCTTGTCTTATCTCTAAATCGCATTTTTTGTCGTCCAATTTTTGCGTTAACATTTAAATATAGCCACAACTCACTTAACTTCTTGCCTATTCATTCATTACTCTTTTATTCAATTCTAGTTGTTCGAGCGGCTAGAATATGGGTGCTGGAACGCAGCATTTTCCAGTACATTATGATGAAAACTGGTTTGGAGAAGATGGAGGAGCGTGTCAAATTCCTTTCTAGTGTTCCTCTGTTGAAGGATCTTGAGCAAGGTCAACTTCAAAGAATTGCCGACGTCCTTGAGGCTCAATTCCATCCTGAAGGCGAGTGTATCATTCGACAGGGCGAACAGGCTGACAGCTTCTTTATCATCCAATCTGGAGAGGTACAGTTTTGCCTATTGGCTTATTTAATCATCTTAACTATTAGCATAAGGTTTAGTTTTTTTAACCTGTCAATATGTGTGCGAATGTCTGTAATTATCTATTCACTATCCCC